CAAAAATCATTGAAACGTATAGTAATATTAGCATACTTATTCATAATTAATCCACTACCAACCCGCTAAAATGTAAGTAGACTCCCAGCAATCCATGAGACTGCATACATGTTTCATATTAAAGGTTCACTATGTAACTTTTCTGTTTGAGGGTCTGCCACGTATCCAAAGAGACGTAGATATGGTGACGTGAAAAGTTACAACAAAACAACATCTGATCTAAATGACACATATTATGCAAATTTACATTTTTAACAATAGTATAATGTTCTTCCTTCATTCAATACATACCTAAAGTTGTCATTTGTTTCATTCACACTTATTTTTTTTTATCCTGTTTACAAGGCCAGCTTACTCTGAACCTCAGGAACACTTAGTTTCAATTTTCCCAGGATTGTTATGTCATAGGTAGAAAATCAGAGCTCTGATGTGCTGTTTATAATCCATAAATCAGTTTTAGACCAGTTCTGAGCATTTCAAATTGTGTTCATGACAACTGCAGGATTATAAAATGATAAATGAGGCCCTATGTCCAAAATTCCAGACTGTCCCTTTAAGTGTCTGCAAAGCCTCCACAGTCTGTATTTAGCCTGCTTGGGGCTAGAGAGGTAGTATCCTAACTGTGATCTGGTCTGAGTATTCGCCGATAACGTACTTGAAAAATGCACGATATCAGAGATTTTGCCAATACCAGTATCGGTATCGAAGAAACTTTATGTGATGTGTATGTGACATATTACAGCATCCACTCAGCACCAGTTTTCAGTCATGTAGCAGTTTCTCCTCACATGTCGTCCTCACATATCATCTTTTACTCCTGGCCCTTGTCCTGTCTGTCTTTCTGGTGTAATTGCTCCTTTTCTGTCCCTGATCCCCTCTCCCTCCTCACACCAGCCTCTCGTGTGTGTCTTCTCCAGGACAAAAAAACCCACACCTCCATTAGACCCTCTTCCTCTTCTTCTTCTTCCTCTTGGTCCATATGTGTCTGTGGGGAGTGCAGTTCATTTGGCCTGTACTCTGTCTCTTCATTAATATCAATGTAACGTGGGCCCCTGTGTTAAACATATCAGAGGGGCCACACAAAGCGCTGCTATTAGAGATAATGACTATAATTGCAGCTATTGACAGATTAAAGGCCTCATCTGCTACATCTAAAGGGCTCCGGTGCTGTGCTGCTCCTCTGAGTCTTTGTGTAAAATGTGTTCACATCTTTCAAGCACCGAACGGAAACAGACCAGGACAATGGCAAAGGGGGCTCAAATATGTATATCTAGAAAATAAGACTAAAGGGATAATAGGACATGAACATTATTAAATTCCAATCATCATTAGGATATGATTACATGAAAGCATTAATTAACTATGGTCACTGTGGTATATAAAATAATGAAGCTAATTACAGTTTTTAGGAAATAGTCCAGAGGAGTAGTGTCATGATGCTACAATTTAAAAATTGATTTTGTTACTAATGAAAAGGGGACATCAAAATCGACAAAACATACTTTTTTTTTTTTTTTTAATAAAATAATTACATTTTCTAATTTACTGTTGATTATGATCATTCTCAAAATATTCAGGCAATGTTTGATTATGTCCAGTATGTGATTTTTTTCTACCTTGCCCCCAGTGCCTTGTAGCCTGATTCATCAGCCGGTTTTACTTCGTTTCACTTCATACAAACAATCTGACCTCGCAGTCTTAGATTTCATTCGCTTGACGATAGGCGGGTACTTTTTTCATTTAACCAATCGCTGCTATTTGGTCGTGACGTACGTAATGCACCGCTGATTGATATATGAAGCTTTTCCCAAATCCCATAGGAAGAAGGGCAATAACGTCTTTCCGCTTGATAAAATTCACCAAACATTCTCTTTATTCCGGCTTTAAATCCTCGATTTCGTGAATCGTTGCCAACACAGAATATATAGCTCTTCGCTGATTGGCTGGTGATCAAACTTGCACTTCTGGGGTTTTTGCGAACCGTCTAGTGTATTTTGATTCCTGACCGAGTTGCTGGACAGAAATGAAATTGAGCAGAGGCTAGAGAAGTAGTGTCATGGTGCTACAATTTTAAACTTGATTTTACTACTCATGCAAAACCTTGACATTTGATAGACACCACATATGTTTTTTTTTAAACAAAATAGTTACATTTTCACATTTTATTATATTTTCATGTAGTTTTAGGCTTGTTCTAATTCAGCTTTGATTATGATAATTCTCAAAATATTCAAGCAGTGTTCGATTGTCAGATTTTTTTTCTACCTCGCCCTCAGTGTCTGTGTACACTGGTGTGTGATGGGTGAGTGGTTTCTTGTTGTAAAGCGCTTTGAGTGCCTTGAAGGTGGAAAAGAGCTCTACATTACCTTTTATACCATTTACCATGCTCATATCATTACTATCGTCATGTTGCTTTAATGTTTCTGAGTGTTTTCTATAAATAGGCATTCTTGCAAGATAAAAACACAAAATGGCTAGACCAGGGATCTCCAACCTCTCGACGCTCTTCCTAGTAGCTCGCCAAGGGATCTCTAAAGTACATGCATTGTCCTGAATGAATAAAATTTGATTAATTAAATGCCTATACCATTGTACATGTATTATTTTGATGCCTAACTTTGTACACTATTGAATGGATAATGATTTATGTTTTATAGGCGTCTAACTGAACCTCATTTTAGACTCACTGTGGCTATTAAATATACTCCATTTCTTGTGACTACTAAAATTAGTAGCTCTCTGGCATTTTCATTTTCTAAAAGGTAGCTCCCCGGAGGAGACAAATATCCTTTAAAGTAGCGCTGTTCTGATACAATTTTATTTGGATCTGACTCGATATTGATAGTCTTGACTTTTGACTCTCACTTGATTATGATAATTCTCAAAATAGCCAAGCAATGTTCGATTCTGTCCAATATATGTGATTTTTTTTTTTGCAATATTGATCAAGTAACAGAGCATAGATACTAAAGAAGTTCACAAATTGCAGATTGCATGCTGGATTTCTGGCAAAAGCTCGTTGCGTCTGCTTACGTAAAAGCTGTCAGAGACTATTGATGATGTATGGGATTGTTGAAGGAGTGTCCCAGTTCATAGGGGTTTATTTTCAACCCCCCTAAGGGGTAGGAGTAGAAATTAGAAATGGGAGTGCCTCCAAGGAAAAAGTACATTTGAGGCTCTTCAATTTCCCTTTTTTTTTTTATTTTGGCTAACACATCTTCCAACAGACATGTCCGATTTTGCTAATAATGTTTTACTTTTTTGACATTTGGCCCTTATCTCTATAGTCTTATTGTAGATCAGAGAACAGCAGTGACTTTAACCCTCCCACACATGTGACAGTAAGAGTCTGCAGGTGTGGGACAGAGGCTCCTCATGGACTGATAGAAGAGGTTCAAACGCAGACACACACAGGCACACAGACACACAGCAGCTCAATAATTCATTACATGGAGGGCTCCTCTCCACTTCAACCTGAGTAAACTTCACCAGCCTCCACACACAGAGTGACAGCAGCCGCCACACCGTCACACTCTGGACTAAGTGTTGCCCGGGGAACACAGCTTCTTCACATCTTCACCAAATCACTTCTTAAAGTAATACTTAAAACTCTAAAGCAGGATAATCTTCATAGACCCTTTTCTAAATGTGTGATACTTTGCAGCTGATATCATCAACATTACTTGGGGGTGGAGGTAACTGGAGGTACTGGGCGTCTGTCTGAGCTTTGTTTTAAAGGGCCCATCTCACGCAAAATCAACTTTTCAGAGCTTTCTACCTTCTAAGAGTGATGTGTGGGCCTTGTATATGTAGCTGAAGTGGTTTTTAGATTGATTCGGCATTTTTTTGTCAAATTGCAGTGTATTTCTGCCACCCTCCCATGTGACAATGAACTAAAGCTGCTACAACGATGACGTGGCAGCTACACCTATGACGCGTTTGACGTAGCAGAAGGCGTTTCACACCCTCCCCCACTCCACCACCTCCGCCCCATCTCCACCTTGCATCGGCTCACAATTCCCACATGAACATCTAAACAAAAGAAACAGCATAAGCTCACTGTTCTACATTGCAGTGTACATGATATAATAAGTAATATCTACTAGTGTTTATTAATACTTTACCAATCAGTAATGTTCGGCTGATGCCGACGCAGTGCTCGTGCTTCGTGTACCTCCAAGTCCTCATCCGATTCTGGGTCCAACACATTAGGCTGAACGCGCTGTATCGCCATGATGAATACAAGTTTATTCCCACCGCTATCAGGGTGCACACCTGTCTCCCCCTCCCTCCCTGAGATGGACGGAGGAAGGGCGGCTCACTCAGAGCCTACGTAACGTTTGGAGGGCGGAGCCTGTGCTTTCTCAGGACAGGTGGGGGGATGAGCAATAGTCGGCCTTTCATAGTCCCTGGTCTTTGACTGCCTCCAAGAAATCAGTAAGATTTCATAACTATTGTGTAATGGATGTTCCAAAACCCAAATTGTGCTTTTATATGTGCAGAAGATACAATGTGAAAAGAGTTATTTTGCATGCGATGGGCCCTTTAAGACAACCTGACCAGAAAGAACTACAAATTTAGCTGGAACTACAACATGAGTTGATTTCTACAATTAAACAAATCCCTGTCAAATAACATTACAGTCACAAGCTTTTTCACTTAGTCACTCTCAGCTTTTTGCTGAAAATCAAACACCTAAATGGGATCATGAATGTTCATATTGATCAAAGTTTCCTCTTGTCTTGTTTGAATAAATTTTGTATTTTTTCTTGACTTTTTTCCTTCATAGACTACATAGGTAGGCAAAAACAATAGCAGAAAAAGTCTAAAATCTAAGATTAGTTATCAAATCTTACCGTGCCGTACACAAAATCCAATATGGAATAAATATCAAACCTCCGAAAATATTGTTCCATGACTCAATATAGTTATCACTGTGAGAGGCCAAGCTGTAAACTGTAAAGATGTTAAGAATCAGTTTGGTTGAGTCCAGTACTGACCTCGTACAGGGTGATGACTCCGTTGGTTTCGTTCGGAGCTTTCCACTGAAGGAAGATCTTGTCCTCGTACGCCGTGTTCTGAAGAGACTCCATGGGAACCGAACCAGGGACTGTACAAGACAATGAAAAACAACTGAGATACTGTACATTCTAAAACGTATGATCATTTATAAAGGTGCACTTGGGGGTCCAGCACCTGCTTGTTTCTATGGATATGTCATTGCTCTGCCTGGAATGTTCCACAGTAAGACATTAAACAGCTCCACTTTATATTTATTCCATTAGAGGTGGTTTTATAGCTTTAAAATACCTGGAAAAACTCAGATTCTAACTGTGAGCGGGGTTGCCTCTCCACAGATCTGACCTTTAACTTGCTCTGGTTTGGTCTCCATGAAGACAGAAAGGTTTAATACCATATTGTGACAGACCCTCCACCAGAAAAGTTACACAGTGCACTTTTAAGTAATACATGCACCCAGGCTTTGACTGTTGGGGGGGGGGAAGAGAAGAATTTGGGCAAATCTGTTTCAGAATATTAAGTACTGGACTAGTGACATGTGCCCGGTTCATTTTAACACTGTGGAAAGAGCCACGGACTCTGACATTTAAAATGTGGAATGAGAAAATGAAGTGTAAAAGGATGGCATAGGGTGGGTCCAAAGTGTGAGAGAAGATGTGTTTGGAATATTTATACTGCTTACTTCTCTATATGTTTTTCTATTTGTGTTCTTTCCTACACATTTTTTATTTAATTTTATGTTATTTAAAGGTGCACTATGTAACTTTTTGGTTGGGAGTCAGTCGCTGGCTTGTTTCTGTGGATGTCATTGCCCTGCCTAGAATGTTTCACAGTATGACACAAAAAATCTCTACCTTATATTTACTCAATTACAAGTGGTTTTATAGCTCAAAAATACCTAGAAAAACAGGCACTGGCACTGTGAGCGGGGTCGTCTCTCCACAGATCTGACCTGTAGCTTGGTCTGGTTTGGTCTCCATGAAGATTACCGTGAAACATTCCACACAAAGCAAAAGGGCTGGGTATCCTTACGAAGTTGCCAATACGATACATATCTTGATACAGTGCACTTTCGATTCGATATGATATATTTCTAATCGATACGATACGGTTCAATAAAAATAAAGGCTAAATTGTGGCTATGATACTAGAAGTCTTTGTTAAACCATTTCTCGTGCAAAGTTCATATGAAACACAAACATTTTTATCGTCAAAACAGTGAATATGTCAAAAGTGTCACATAAACGAGTTTCCTTCCACTAAACAAGCAACAAAACTGTAGTACTGTAACAAAATAATGTAGTAAAATACACACTCTTGGTGATATATTGATACAGCAGCACACGGTAGATACTATATCATCACATTAAGCATACGATATATTGATATTTTTTTATTTTTACACACCCCTACAAAACAAAATAACATCTTCGTGGAGAAAAGTAATTGATGCAGCATCAACCAGAAAAGTTACACAATGCATCTTTAAACACTTAAAATATGGAAGGAGAAAATGAAGTGTAAAAGGATGTCACGGAGGGTCTTTGGTGGGAGAGAAACAGCAATAAATTTGGAATTTTTATAGTATATGTCTACATGTCTATATTTTTTTTTTTGTTATTTCATGTTTTGATATTCTTGTTTTTTGAATGTGTTAAAAACTTAAATATGTAAATTGAATCAAATATCACTCTGAGGTTTGTGCAAAGTGCTGCAAAGACTCATTCAATTGTAAGAAAAGTGCTTCAGACTAATTATAGTCAAATCTACCCGGTAACCAGCGTGTTTGTTGATGTAATGCTGAGTTTACAGGTAGACTCACACTCACAAGTTCCTCACATAGAGAGGTGTCAGACACGCCAAAGCAGAGCACAGAACAGAAGTCTGCTGCTGTCCTCACTTCACGTTTCAACCGCACACGCTGAATGAATGTGAGAAACGCTGGTGATCGGACAAAGGAAGCTGTGTTGAATTTATGAATATTTTTAAACTCACCAGACTCAAACACAGCTGCAGTCTGATGATGTCATACAAAAATCTTAAAGTAAATTTCAGTCATTTTCTTTCCTATATTACGCTAGATTGACTCTTGTGAGCTTTAAACCATGTTATAATGCTGTTACCTCCTCAAAAACATCTCCAGAGTTGTGTTTTGTTTCATTCACACGTTTATTATTAGTCTGTCTACTAGGGGAGTGCAAAAATATTGAAATATCGATATATATCGTATCGTTTAATGTGATGATACAGTATAGATATCATGGGCTGCTGTATCAATATGTCACCAAGAGTATTTTTTCGTATATTTCACTCAATTATTTTGTTACAGTGCTACAGTTTTGTTGCTTGTTTAGGGGAAGGGAACTTGTTTATCCAACACATTTGACATTTTCACTATTTTGAGGATTAAAATGGACATTTTTCATATTTACTTTTCATAAGAAGTGGTTTAACAAAGACTTTTAGTATCACAGCCATGATTTAGCCTTTATTTTTTATTGAACTGTATCGAATCGCTTTGAATTATATTGTATCGAATCGAAAGCTCACTGTATCAAAATATGTATCGTATCTTGGCCTATGTATCGAGTAACTTCTTAATGATACCCAGCCCTACTGTCCACATCTCCAAAGTGCAAAATGCTCTGTTCCACCTTGCGATGTCATGTAGTGGTAGATTTCAAGTTAACAGCAACCATTTTGTTCAGTAGAGATTGACAATTTAAGGTTTGAAATTATCCAAATGAGTCTAGTGAAGGTTTATGGAGCTTAAAAACTCAATGGAGCACTTCCTACATTACCACACGACATCACAAGGTGGAGCAGGGTGTTTTCCGTTTGAGAGAAGAACTTGAAACACAACTCCAGGTCTGTTTGTGACGAGGAAACATTATAACATAGATCAGAAAATGGCATAATATGGGCCCTTTAAATGCCATAGTGAATGTAAATGGCTTTAACCAAATTACCTTTACTTAAAAACTCCACTTAATAATCCATCATGCTGTCTCCTATACAATAGATTGTAGCACACTGTTTCCCTCTGTATGTGTGTGTATGTGTGTGAGTGTGTGTGTGTGTGTGTGTAGGGCCCCTGGTCTATAAAGGCATTAGCTACAAGCAGCAATTATCCTCTGTGTGAACAAGCTCTGCTCTGTTCCCTAATTACTGCATTACAACGCCGAGATTAACAACAGTAAAGAAAAAACAATTAACCAAGAAACCATTAACAAATACATCTCTAACCCCTTGAAGGAGTTTCTATTCCCATCTCACTTTAGCCCCACATGAAGGCCCAGATTCATGTGTATTCAGCAGATATAGGTGAAATGTTCCCTCAAGTGAAATCTGGAGCTTATTAGATCTGAGATTGGGAGATGTACAGGAGATCATTACCGCGTGTTTTATCAGTGTGATGGGGTGGAGCACGTTCAAGTTGGGAAAGGGGAAACCTAAACACACTGTAGGTAGTCGTAGGGCCGTGTAGGGTTCTCAAAAGAATTGGAAATCAGATATTAATTGATACTAAAAACTAGATACTCATTTGAGCAGGTAGCGATACTAAAAAAAATAACTTTTTTTTTGTTTTTATTGTTATATTTTGTCTCTTTTTTGATCAGTATGGTTTATTCTTTGGTTCTTATTTTTTGTTAAAATGTATTATTGTTTATATTTGTGTTCATTATTTAATTTGTTGTGTTGATGTCTGTATATCACAAAGACTGAATAAAAAAAAAAAAGTATAAGAGCACATAGACTCATAGGGATTGCACAGATATAAAACAACATGGCAATATAAAAAAAAGTATTATTTAATGTTGAAAATCACATTCTACTGTCTAAAGCAGGGGTGTCAAACTCATTTTGGTCCGGGGGCCGTATCCAACCTACTTTGATCCCAGAGGGGCCGGATCAGAAAACTCATGGCATATATACCCCACAAATTGCAATAAATTCAAATATTTGTGGAGAGAAATGCAAATCTATTACAGAAATCTTTTTTTTTTAAATTGATGAACTCTTTCTTTTACAAAATATTATAATATTATGAACAACCTGAAACCTTTAAGAAAAATGCAATTTCAGTGTTTGAACATTAACTTGTATGCAAATTGTTATAAGTCAATTTCTCTAGGGAAATCCTGCACTCGGTGTCCACTTTTCTCATTTTTGACATTTTGCTGATGAGGGTGTCACGGTCAACAGTCAAAATGATAGTAATTTAAGAGTGTTTGGAAAGCGGCAAGTCTTCATTTGTGCTGCTCTGGTGGGAGGGGCCACGCACAGAGGCACTGGAGAAGCTGCTATGCTCAGCGACGCAGAAAATTACAAATATTTTTTTATAGAAAATATAATTAAAACATTATTTTAGTAGAAAATCAGCTGATGGCCAGATTAAAGGTCTTGAAGGGCCGTATGTTTGACACCCCTGGTTTATAGAAAGAGTGCTTCTTTATTATAGTAGTGGAATCTGTATTGAGTATTGAGTCTGTTCCTTAGTATCGAAATTGTATTCAAAATTTTAGTATCGTGATGACACCAGTTTGGAGCAAATGTTTTGAATTGAACATAGGAGTCTTTGCAGCCTGTAAAGATGTTTTATTTTATTTAACCTTTATTTAACCAGAAGACCCTCACTGAGATTAAAAATATCTTTTCCAAGAGTCTCCTGGCTGAATTCATGGCTGGTTCCACCCAAGGCCACACAGTCAGTTGCTGTGTTGGTGTCAGATTGATACTTGTTCAGCTCTAGGCAGAACTGTGCTTTTCTTTTCAATATTTAGCTTTAAGGTCTTTTCCCTGGAGGCGCTCTCCTCCAAACATCCATTATTTAGTGTTCGGGCTAATTGAGCAGAGAATCCTTGAGCTACACTGAGGGAGACACCAACTCTGGATCATCTGCTGTGAATAAACTCATATCAAATATTCATGTTTATCTCACTGGTGATGGTGAATATATTGTACCTTGATAATAAATCCTTCCTGTCATATAGGTGTCCCTAGGCCTGTCACGATAACAAATGTTGAAGCACGATATATTAATACAGAGATATACTGCGATAAACAAAAACACTGAAACTGACACTATAACCACAAAGAGACACTAAAATAAAAAAGCCAGAGCTGAAACAAATAAATAACAGAATAAACAGATAATTAGTCACAGAAGTAATTGTTTCTACTCTCTAAAGCTCAGATCTTTTTGTATTACATAAAAAATTGCTAAAATCTTAAAAAGTACAGACGATAAATATTGAGCCCCAACATACTGTATATTGTTCCAGCTTTCATAAATGTAATATTTAATTATCGAGAAAGGCCTAGCTATCCCGGTGCAGTATCACTTTTAAGTATTGATCAATCTCGACATGATTTTATTTAGTCTTTTTAACATCAATATATCTCTTTGCCTTGATTTCGTGAACGTTTAACCCCAAAAAATAAACACATTTCTTCCTCCAAAGTCTCAACTCTGCTCCAAACACGCTTTTTACTGACAGAGGATTGACTTTTGACTTTCTCAAATCAAAAATCCCAGCTGTGTCATTGATTACCTGACATGACTCTGAGTTCTACTTTTAGCAGGTTGTGAAGTTTGTAATCTTCAGTCTGTGTTGTGCATTGCTCATCAGTTTTGTTTCGCACTGTGTGTTTTCCAGCAGCATGAGCCTGATTGTGACATTTTCATCTTTTATAATGAAGACAGTGTTCTGTAGGAGGCCGCCAGCGCACCGGCTGTTTAGTGGGAATAATTATAAACCTGACATATATAGTTTTATAACAATGACAAGTAAACCGTAAAGCCGCTGTACCCGAGTTTGAACAATTAGTGTCTTTCAGAACGAACTCTTAGCCCTTAGTGCCTTCTTCTCTGATTTTAAACTAAGACAGAGAAACAACGGGATAGACAATAGCAATAGAACATTATTTCTGATTGGATAAAATTATCACTTGCGAAAATAGAAGTGATTAAAGAGGACATATTATGCTTTTGGTAGTACCAGGGTTCCCACTCTTTTTCACTGACAAAATTTCAAAACTTTTCCATGACTTTTTCATGAGCTAAAGTGAATTTTCCATGACTTTACGGCACCTACATGTGTAGAATTGAGCATACTTTTAGGGTTAAATATGAAATGTTAACCCTTTCCACTCACCTTATGGTTTGGTATTATAGTTTTTTAACATATAAAATACTGTCAATGCATTTATTGTCGTCTCTTTTAAACAAAAGGTGCATACGTTCAGAAATAATCATAATAGTTTAATGATAACTTAACAGAACGCTGTAGTTGCGTGAAAAAAATACTAAAATTCCATGTTTTTTTCAGGCCTGAAAAATGACATATTCAATTTCCATGACTATTCCAGGATTCCCATAACCGTGGGAACCCTGTAGTACTTATTATTTTACATTTTGTTGATTGTAAAATGCTAAATTGATCTGTAACAGTTTAGGAAAAGAAATGGGGCTTGAGAGTTATAGCAGCGGATTCTCATTTCAGTGTTTTTATAGAGGAAAAAGAGCAAAATAACTAGATTTTTTTCAAAACTGAACATGTCTTACCCAGATTTTTTCAAACATAATCATAAGATAGTAGATGGTTGGGTGAGGGTAGTGAGTAGGTGAAAACATTAAAGTCCCAGATGCAGGACAACACCAATTACTCCAGCATACATGAAACAACTTATATGCAACTGAGTAAACTAATGATACAGGAACACCATTATAACATGCCAAAAAGTTTTTAAGTCGTTGCATATGTTCCCTTAAATGTCAGGTACTGCTTTGTGTTAAAATCCTATAGTAAAAAAGGAGATTTGGAGAAGTTCTTACCATCCTCTTCTGTTTGCTTGACGATCTCCTCGCTCTCCTTGCTGCCTTCGGGGTTGGCCAGGACCAGTCGTAGCCTCACTGTTACGAAGGGCCTCAGACCTCTCAGAGTGTAATGGGACGAGGTCTGGATCGACTCTTCAGCCGAAAACTCCTGCTGGTTGAACACGTACTGGTACTGCACCTGGGAAAACAGAAAAACAAGAGGATTTCAGTCCTGGAGAGAGGAATATTATACGAGTACATTTCTTATGGTATGTTGGTATTTCTATTAGATCAATACAAGAACACAAATGGTCACATATATAGCGCTTTTCAACCTTCAAGGCACTCAAAGCACTTTACATCAAGGAACCACTCGCCCATTCACACACAAAACACAGACACTGGGGTTGAGGTAGGTTAAGTGTCTTGCCCAAGGACACAACGACAGCATGTGGATCAATAAAATTTGTCTAAATGTAAGTCTATTCATCTGTGGGAGCTGGAATCACACCGCCAACCTGTGGATTAGTGCGTCAGACCGCTCAACCAATGATGTTAACGTCAAGAGTGGGATTCGAACCGCCAGCCTTCGAATCAGTGGACAAATATTTGCCCCAAAACATGTATACTGTAGACTTAGACTGAGTTTATTGATCCACAAAGGAAATTGCTTGGACACAGTAGTTCACACATCACATTATATTACAATAATAAATATAATATATAGTAAATATATACATTATCAGTCAAACTTTTATAACACCATACTTTTTTCAGTTTTTTAAAGTTTACTGCTGACTAAAACATATTCTAAACTTTTGATTCATGAAAGTGTAACATTTGGCAGATATAACAGCTGAACACTTGTGGCTTGTTCTTTTCACAATAGAAATCAAATATTCTTCAGAAAGTTCTTCCCAAATCTGTTGCAGAAGTTCCCATAAATGTGTGGCACTTCTTGTAGGTTGTTTGGCTTTCACTCTTCTGTCCAGTTCATCCCAAACCAGCTCCATGTGGTTTAAGTCTGGAGACTGTGCTGATCACTCCATGTTTTCAAGTTTACCATTTTGTTCTTTTTTCCTGAGGTAGCTTTGGCAGAGCTTGGACTTGTGTTTTGTATCTTTTATCTTTTTTTTTAACGTCTGGCTGTTCAGTTCTTACCTTTGTACCATTTCAAGCTCTTCATTGGACTTAAAGGTTGTATGGAGGATTTTTTTTGTTTCAAATTGTCAATGATAGCATTATGATGACCAAAAAAGATAATAGGATAAAATGCAAGTTTTAAGTTTAAAAAAAGACAGATAAGATTAATGTGCATAAAGTACTTCTAACAATTATGAAAACTATTTATTTCCAAGTAGATATATATGTCTAAATAATTTCAAGGCAAAGAAAGAGTAGCTAGTATAAAACTTCTCTGCACACTACAAGCTGTTAACTGTGTTTAAATGTATTCACATTTGAAAAAGGACGTCGCTGGATTTCTCGTTCCTTGGAAAATCCTCTATACAACTTTAAATAGCAATAAATATCTGGAAAAATGTGGGTGTTTTAAAACTTTTGACCGTTAGTGTGCATGTATATAAAGATTGTAATAAAACTTCTAAATAAGTAGCTAAAAAATAGCAAGAGACTGGTGTCAAATAAGACATAAATTATATAAATGTACGTACAAGTAAGTTAAAAAACAGATATTAATATAAACTTCTAACTTCTATACTACATATGGCTAAAGAGACACGTGTGCACTTTTGTGGATAATGTTAACACAGTGATTTGTCCAATACTTAAATATAAACACATTTAAAGACATTTCTGTTTCAATAACATAATATCGCCTTAATAAGTTGGCAACACATCATAGTAAGGAAATGGGTCTGGCATAGATGAAAACACATTTTTCCTCCTTTAAGCAAAACTAATTCAAGTTGAGTCATAACTGAGTATTAACAGACATTGGTGACATATCCTTACTCCAGAAAAATGTCCTATTGATGTTAAAATATAGCAGCTTAAGGGGCTACATTATGGCATTTTTTATTTCTATTTCATTGTGTTGTATCCTCATCAAAACCATACCTTTCCTTTCAATGCTCACTGTACCTAAATCATAATCAAGCGACTCATTTAAATCCTTTTTGGCATCATTGCAGACTCCTCTTGGCAACATAAGCTCCTCTGAAACGACGGTGTGACTCTGCCGTGTGCTTCTGACAGCTGATGTGAGTAGTTAGTGCAGTTATTTCGGTGCACATTATAATGAGTGTCCATACAGCGCGGCTCTTCTCGGCGTTCGGGGCGGTACTTACTGTCAGATTGTAGCTATGACAACGAGTGACGGCGTATCCAAAAGTCTCCCACTGGACGGTCAGCTGGCGAGCCCTCACGTCCACCACGTTCACGTTCTGAGGCCCGTGCACTGGATCTGGAACACAGAGAGAGTCCTGGGTTAGTCCTAATTTGGTCCTGGTTCAGTTTCGGTTTAGCCCCAGTTTAGTGTCGATTTAGTCCTGGTTTAGTCCTAGTTTAGTACTGGTTCAGTCCCAGGTCAGTCCTGGTTCAGTCATGGTTCAGTCCTGATTAGTCTTGGTTTAGTTCCAGTCTGGTCCTGGTTCAGTCCTGATTCGGTCCTGGTTTAGTCCTGGTTCAGTCATGGTTCAGTCATGGTTCAGTCATGGTTAAGTGCTGGTTAAGTGCTGGTTCAGTCCTGGTTCAGGCCCGATTCAGTGTCCCAGTTCAGTCCTGGTTCGTCTTGGTCTAGTCCTGGTCTAGTCCCGGTCTCATCCTGGTTCAGTCCTGGTTTAGGCTCAATTCGGCCCTGGTTGGTCCTGGTCTAGTCCAGGTCTAGTCTTGGTTCAGTCATGGTTCAGTGCTGGTTCAGTCCTAGTTCTGGTTTAGTCTTTGTTCAGTCCCGGTTTAGTCCTTGTCCAGTCCCAGTTTAGTACTGGTTCACTCCTGGTTTAGTCCTGATTCAGTCCATGTTTAAGTCCTTGGTTAGTCTTGGTTTAGTCCCGGTCTAGTCTGTATACTACGGTAGACTTTAACTTTCTTTTTCCATTAGGGTTTGCTAAATGTGCTGCTAATTGTCACAGACTCATGTCGTGAGGTTCTGCTCGTATTATCCTCAAACGTCGCCATGACACTCGGTTACACTAATTGGACCTAATAGTGGAAACCAGGGGAATGCATAATGATCCGAAACTCGTGCCTAAACTGAAAGCATTAGAGTAGCTCCTAAAAGTGCATGACAGGTTAGGCTACTTATTTCTATAAAACGTAGTTAACAGAATCACATGTGGCCACACTGGCTTCTCAAAACCTCTCAGGAGTTAAGCAAGACTGGGCCCGGTTAGTACTTGGATAGACAACACTATTTTTGTCATCTATACACCAAATCCCATCCAAAATTCTTTGTTTCTTTATAAGTCACATCTAACAGTGCTACCTGTAATTTTCAACTTTTATTTATGAACTTTTATTTAACTGATGTAAAACTACTACCAATAATGACCAAAGGTACGATTCAGAGGTGGGTAGTACTCAGTTTCACAATGACCTAATATACTGTTTTTTTTTTTTTTTAAGATACTAAAATAAACACTTCTCTGAATATTTCAAGCAGCATACTTTTACTTCTACTTGAGTAATATTTTTATTGAAGTAACAGTAATCTTAACTTGAGTAAAAGTTTTGACTACTCTTCCCACTGTGACTAAATCTACAAGTTACAAAAGCTTTAAGTTGACAATATGAACTGATTTGAACATTTGTGTTCCTTGCACTGATCCTTCAGATGATTTAGTTTCTCATTTTTTGCATCCTTTGAAAATATCAGATTTTGTGCATTATTAAGGTTAGATGTGTGTAAAATCCCTCAGTCATCCAGGTAGAACCCACGGCAAAAGGAGAACACGTTTCGCAGCTCATCCAAGCTGCTTCTTCAGTTCTGGTCAGATGCTGGTGGACACTTCCTTATATTTTGCTGAAAGGGAGAAGCTAACTACAATGAAACTACTCTGAAACTAGAAAAGCACTCAGAGAGCGCAGACCTCCGCCAAGGACTACCCCCATTTTTTATATAAATTGCGATAAAATCAGTCTTCTGGATCAAATCCGGATCAGCCTTTGGAATATGAAAGAGGATCCCATTGTCCATCCCTGAGTCAAATTTCATTGGTCAATAATTAACGGAGATATTGAGAAACAAAATTTTTGGCCCCATTTACCACAATGTTAACTAAAATTTCAAAGTGATCCAGAATCCAGGATTTCTTCCGATTCACACCCAAAATAAAATCAGTTCTTCCTTTTCCCATTTCCAACAAATCCTGAAAATTTCATCAAAATCGGTCCATAACTTTTTGAGTTATGTTGCTAAAATACAAACAAACATAACCTCCTTGGCGGAGGTAACTAACACCGAGAAGCCCAGAGGTGTGAAGGCACCTAGTATGGCCCTGAATGATCCTGCTAATATGACTCCACACTTAGTGCAAGTTCAATAGGCCTAGCTAACAACAGAAAGTGTAAACAAGAAGATGCATTAGTTTCAGAGTAGTTTCATTGTAGTTAGCTCCTCCCTTCAGAAAGATATAAGGAAGTGTCCACCAGCATCTGACCAGAACTGAAGAAGCTTGGATGAGATGCAAAATGTATTCGACCAAACTTTTGTCCAGCTGACAAATTGAATTTCTCCTTTTGCCATTATTAACTTTAAATTATAAATCAGATCCTGACAGTTAAGTTACTCTGCCTTTTTACTTTTACTAATTTCTTGGACCACTGCTCTGTACTTCTTCTTGAGCAGGATTATTTTCAAGTAACCTTACCCTAACTTGAGTACAATTTTTGGCACTCTACTCCCCACTGGCCCAATTCCACCAAGTAAAGTATTAAGTAATAAAACATAAAAACCTGCCATATGCACTTTAAGAATGAAATGGTCTGATTATGGCCACATGCTGCTTAATCATGTCTATACAATGGAATTAGCCAACGCCACCATCTGGGACTAAGAACTAGAGTATCACTGGTTTAAAGCCCTGTCTTAGTTCTTAAAAAGACTAAAGTAATCCAGATTCTGCAGAAGACATTTTACAGCCAACAAACAGCAGGAGGGCCCCGGCACAGAGCCTCTGCTACAGACCTGTGTTCTGTTACTGCACAAACCACTGCAGTCCCATTGAGACAGATGGATTTTCATAAAAAGCACTTGTCAGCCTGTAAACTTCATATTGATTTCTGTGCGGACACGTAGAAAACGCCTGGAGTCAGTGAAGCTCAAATGAAATTGTGGTGCGTTTGATGACAAAGGAATATGAGGCACGTGAGAGTGAAAAGGTTATGCTTTTGTTTTTGTCGCATTAGATTGAAATATAATTGGATTCAATAGTGAAGTCGATGCAGTTTTTATAGCAACGCAATATGCCTACAACTTAATAGTGCTATAGAAGTGCCAGTGCCAATTCGAGTAAATAATTTTATCTGTTTCTGAATGCAGGTGACAAGATATAAATTCCCATATTGTTAAAAAATAAAGGCTGAACAACTTGAGGAAAAGAAAATAATCTGACTAGAAATGAGAATAAGATTTAAAAGTGTTATTCTGTTCAGGGTGCACATTGTAAACAACACCAAGAGCATAAATTGTTGATACTAGGGATGTAACGATATCAAAATCTCACGGTACAATATTATCACGGCATGCCTTTCATGGTATGATAATTATTGCAATATTTTGGAGAGGTTAATAGAATTGTACATAAGCTATTTTTTTTTCCTTTTTAAATACCTTGACCAGTCTTAAGTGTGGATCATTATTGCCACATTCTAAAGAAATAAGATGGTCTATGCTGTTTTTAATACTGTTAAGTGAAAAACCTTGCAATTCGATATATTGCGATGGACCATGATATTATTGTGAGAGTTCTGACGATACGATATCACGATATTTTGGTTACTGTTATGTCCCTAGTAGATACGCATAGGATTCAGCAGTGTCACGATTTGCAGCTATCCAATACTTCGCGGCTCTTTGTTGTGATGACGTTTACAATAATGTCAGCTTCTATTGGGCATCACAGTTTTCTAATGTGGAAATCAACTGACTTGTTTCTTTTATTAAGTAATTTTAGACAAATATTGAGATTCAAACTGTGTATATTATAGCATAATGACCTGTGGGTGTCATAGATTATAACTATATAGCAGACACAAGCACAGTGTCTTTTTTTAACATTTCAGAGAAAACTGAACAAACTGATAAATACAAGAATCTCATGTTTTTCAGAACATGATTGTAAAGGTCTAGCCAGGCTGGTGCCACTTAATGCCTCCGCTCAATTTCATTTCTCTTCCGCGACTAGGTCAGGAATCAGAATACACTAGACGCTTTGCAAGAACCCTGGAAGTTGTACACCGCGCACTGGCCAATCAGCGGAGAGCTGTGAAGCCATGACGTCAAACTCAAGCGCCTGTCTGGGTCCCTTTTGTGGTACAGCACAACAGTAAACAAAGCGGTCGAGATGGATGTAGACGAAGCCATACATTCTGTGTTGGCAACAATTCCCAAGATCAAGGATTTAGAGCCGGAACAAAGAGAATGTTTGGTGAATTTTATAAGCGGAAAACCGTTATTGCCCTTCTTCCTATGGGATTTGGCGCATTACATACATCATGACCAAATAGCAGCGATTGGTTAAATAAAAATGTACCCGCCTACTGTCAAGCAAACTAATCCTAATGTGGTGAGGTCAGATGGTTTCCACGAAGTGAAACTGGCTGATGAATCAGGCTAATAAAGATCTAAGCAACAAATACAAAAAGGTGCGTTGTGTAACTTTTCTAGTGGCGGCTCTGTCACCTCCTTGTTTCTATTGATATGTCATTACCTAGAATATTACAGTATGACATTAAACACTCTACCTTACATTTATTCAATTATAGGTGGTTTTACAGCTCAAATTACCAAGATAAACAGGAACTTGTACTGTGAGTGGAGTCGCCTCTCCACAGATCTGACCTGTAACTTGGTCTGGTTTGGTCTCCATGAAGATAAAAAGGTTTAATACCATACTGCAAAACATTCCAGACAAAGCAATAACATCTCCAGAGAGAGCTTTAAATTTCAGAATTGTGCGACTTCAAATTGCGATTTTGATTTGATTGTGATATATTGTGCAGTCCTACAAAGCCCTACAATACAGAAGCTTTTCTTGAAGAAAACTAATAAATCAAAATGGCTTCTGATGCAATTTTTCTCCAAACTCCGTGATCAGGTTAGTCTAATCTGGTTTGTACATGAGTCTATGGAGAAATAAAGGCCACTAAGCCCACTATGACTCCTATCAGCAGCCTCTTAATCCACAGTCTTTGGGTCGGATCCAAGATAATCTGTAGATAATCTGCTCTGGGATCAGGGGGAGG